TTATTTGACAGAAATATGATATTTATCATAATATTTCTGTACATGGTTAAAAAAGGAAATGACAAGTCACTTGGACAAGTCACTTGGATCCCTAGCTCTTATTCCTCATTCATTAGTCACCTGACCCATTTGTTGTGGGCCATGACTAACGAGGAAAAGAGCTATTTGCACACACAATACAGAAAAACACAGTGCTCAGATTTGAAAATTACAGCATATACCGGGTAGCGCTGACCGGATACATCTACTGGATTCGCCAAGACTCAGTGTGGTAATGTTTGTTTTTTTTTCTTCTCCCCAGACTGTCCATCACATTGGGACGAATCCATAAAATAGTCAGTGCAGCAGACATTGAAATTACATACCAGACTGGCCAAGATAAATCACTTCCACCAAGAATATCATAAACATGCATAAACAGTATGTCAGAAGTAGGGGAGAGGTCAAAAAACATGCTCTGATACTATATAGTAGATATAACTATAAAACCTTGATGTAGGTTTAATGGCTGAATGATATAGTGTGTGTGTGTGTGTGTGTGTGTGTGAGAGAGAGAGAGAGAGAGAGAGAGGGAGAGAATGAGAATGTGTGTGTGTGCCCATTGTTATATCTGTAACAAAAATCCAGCTGCAGTCCCCCAAAAAACATGCCGGCTCTTATGTTGCACCAAAAATGCAAACATATAGAAATGCTCAAACAGGCATCAAAGTTTGCCATAAAATCTTGTGTGGTTTAGTCTGACTGTGGTTTTGGTTAGTCTAGAACAAATCTGTAATTAAATCTGGCACATAATGACTCCTTCTGGTCATTTACAGACGGATCACACACACAGACGGCAATTATCTGGTCTGTGTGGATGGATTATTGGTCTGCCCGGATGAAGAAGTGCATGGGAAAATCTATCAGATTGTGTGTCAAATAAAAAGTAATGATCATTTGTGTGACACATATATATTTCATTTCTTTTTACTGTATTAAGGTTTGGACATAACACATTGAAATATTCTGCAGTTCTGAGGTAATCATTTTAAGTGGGCACGCTGGAAAATCTTCGTACATTAAATCTGATGCATTACAGATGATTTGTTCCTAGTATGAATCAAAGAAAAAAAAATTAATCCTGATAGCATGGCAGTACATTTTCAAGGACTGGAATGGTTTTACAGGCATAGTGCTTATTTATTTATTTATGCTAGCTAGCGCTGATTAATGACATTAAAAACTAGACAAAAAGCACACAATGATAAGCAAGTCTTCCCAAATTAAATTGATCCAAGTAATCATCAAATGTGATTTGTGTATAGGCCTAGCTACAAGGGTGATAACTAGCCTAAAGCTAAGCCTAAAAAAATCAACTAGATAATGTTATTTAATGACTTAATTCAATTTAACTTTACCTTTGTTCGATTTTACTTCAGTATGAATTTACCTCAGTTTGACCGTTAATTCAGTTTAATTTGACCTCAGTTTGACCATTACCTCAGTTTGAGTTTACCTACAGTAACTTCAGCTTCACCTCAGTTTGAATTTATATGAGTTTTACTTTAATTCAGTTCGACTTTACCTCAATTTCACTTTACCTCCTTTTGAATTTACCTCAGCGCAACTTTTCTTCTGTTTGACCATTACTTTCAGTTCACATTTACTTTTGACTTTAACTCAGTTCTACCATTTCTTTGGTTTGACTTTGCCTCAGTTTGACTTTATCTCTGTTTGAATTTACTTCAGTTTGACTTTACCTCAGTTCAACCATTACCTGAGTTCGATTTTACCTCAGCTCAAATTTTCTTCAGTTCAAACATCTTCCTTACTTCACGTTTACCTTAATTTGACTTTAGCTCCATTCAACCATTTTTTAGTTTGAATTTAATTCAATTTGACTTGACCTCAATTCGACCATTTCCTCAGTTTGAATTTACCTCAGCTCAACTTTACTTCATTTCGACCATGACCTCAGTTCACATTTACCTCAGCTTGACTTTACCTCAGTTTGACCATTTACTCAGTTTGAAATTACCTCAGTTCAAACTTACCTCACTTATCTTTCCCTCAGTTTGACTCTATTTCTCTTAAAGCTGACAGAGCTAGGAACTATAGTCTGGGACCTGTATTTGTGAATGAATGGAATTGCAGTTCTTTTTATACTTTTTGTTCAATATCCAAATCATTCTGTTTTCTGTTTGCTCTAAATCTCCAGGAATGGAGTTGATGACCTTGCTTTATGGTCAGAAGTCATGATATTGCATTTTATGGTTATCATACAATGAAATTTAAATACCACATGATAACTTGTCACATATTGCTGCTAATGAATAAACACAGGATACTGCAGGTCCTTTTATAATTGTGCTGTTTAGAATGATCTTTTTTTAATTAGGATATTTTGTACAGAGGTGAATGGGGTCGCATATATTTTTTATAGAAACATTTGGAAGAAAAACAGATGTATAAATTTGAAATGTTTCCCCCCAGATCTATATCGACCTATAATTACTTTCAACTTAAACCAATCTTTATAAAACATCTTCCAAACAAGTCAAGTCAAAATCGTTTGTGGTTGAATTATATAGCGTCTTGGTACATGTACGACTGTTTTAGAAAGTGGTGTTTGGGGTGCATATGTGCAAGGGTGTGTGCGAGTGTGTCAGTGAGGATGTGTCTTGAAAAGCAGAAAGAGGTTTGGTGTCACTTGATTCTCTAACCAATCACAAACTTCGAAAGCAGTTGTTGTGAAGGGGTTAGAACAGTATAAAGGTGCTCAGGGAAACGAGAGAAAACAGAGAAAGAAGAACCGCAAACGAACAAGACACAGAACGTGAAGCTCTGAAGAAGAGAGAAGCTACAAAAGACGAAAAGATGAAGTCTTTCACGCTCCTCGTCCTCTTTTCTGTGCTGTCTGCCTGCATGTCTACAGGAGGTAAGATGGACAAATAAAGAAGTTTTCTCTCTGCATATATAAGTTGCTATGTAAAGGACATTATAAGGGTTATACACATCTGCGTCCATGTTTTTCCTGTGTGCAGTACTGGATATTGCTGCTGAACCTGACACTGCTCCTGACGCTGCTCCTGACGCTGCTCCTGACGCTGCTCCTGAAGCTGCTCCTGAAGCTGATCCTGCAGCAGATGCCCCCGCAGCCTCCAGCTCTTCCTCGGAATCAGACTCCGCATCAGACTCTGCCTCTGACTCTGCGTCTGACTCTGCCTCTGACTCCGCATCTGACTCTGCTTCAGACTCTGATTCCGCGTCTGATTCCGCCTCTGATTCCGCCTCTGATTCTTCCTCATCTGAGTCCAACTCTAACAGTGTTGAAGGTGAGATACTTACACTACATTACACTAAACACTTGTTTGGACAGGACCGGCTTTGAGCTTTTAGTGTGTGTGCGTGTGTTCCCATCCTGCAGCCACAGCTGCACCTGACCACGTGATGGTGAAGAGATCTCTCGCCACAGCCCTGCTGAGGAGACACAGACGTGCAGGAACGCCAGTAGCAGACCTGACCCCAGTTCAGCTGGAGAGGTACACCTTCTGCCCCACGCTATACTCATGCTTTCCTAGATTCTATTCTATTCTATTGAGACTGTATCAGACAATATTCTACTATATAATACCTGAGAATCTTTATTCTATTCTATTCTATTCTATTCTATGTAGAGTATCAGACACTATTCTACTATATTCATGAGAATAGAATATTATATCAGACAATATTCTATTATATACCTGAGAATCTTATTCTATGTTATCCTATTCTATTACATTTTTTACAAAGGTGGTATCATATATATATATATATATATATATATATATATATATATATATATGAGAGAGAGAGGTTTTTAATAAACTGAGAGGTTTTTAATAAACTGACAACAAATTCATACTTTAAAGCAAAGTGCTAATTTCCAACTACAGTAATATTTTCTATAATGTGACTATTAATGATATTTATATTATATTCTACAAATATTCTAAAAATATATATAAATATTTTCCATCATCTACAATCTAAACATTTCTGTTACTTTTTAACAGTCTGAGAGAGGTGTGCGAGGTCAACGTTGCCTGTGAACACATGTCTGACACTGAAGGGATCGTGGCGGCTTACACAGCGTACTACGGCCCCATCCCTTTCTAAATGGCCTCAGAGAGAAGCTGCTTCTACAAGGACTCAAAGCTAATCCAGATTTAGATGGAACAGAAATCAGCTTTGCTGTATTTGAACGGGTCTCACTACCTCCCCTGCTTTGCAAAGAGGTGAAGGGAGAAAAATAAATGGCTGTTCTGGCTTTTCCCCTCGACAGCTCCAGATTTTGCTTTGCTGTAAGTTTTTACTGAAACCACTAGAGACTTTCTGGTTTTGTATCAGAGATGACCACAACTACAGTGACAACTCATTTATGTAGTAGTCTAAGAATAGCATAAGTATCTCACTATGTATATGATCTCTGTGGTGTGATCAACCTGACAACTGTCACAGGGACTGTAAAATGTCACATCTGCTAATATAGTGTTTTATCGTAGAGCTATTTTGCTTATCTGCATAGATCAAGGAATGACACATTAGTAGGCAAACCATAAACATTCATTTTATTTAGTCTTAAATTATTATTGTTCTGTGGAGTTTATGTTTTCTTGAAGGCTCAATGCCATCTTCCATCACAATGGTGCTAAACCTCCTTATTTAACACTCGAAGCTAGGGGAGATAAAATCATAAACTGTACTTTACACATATTTTTGCTAGTTGATCTAGGACTTGTCTCTTTGTGGATAGTCTTTTTTTTTTTTTTTTTTTAAATATATACGTATAGCATTTTTTTTAGTGACACAATGATATGGAAAATGCTTGTACATTGTTTTAATAAAAATGTTTTAACATGTACAGATTTGAAATTGTACTGTGGTTCTTTTTCCTCCAATTTATCATGTCTGATTCTCTGAATGATATTTTACAAATGGTATTTGTTATGTTAACAATATGGTGTTTATTCTAAGGGCGCATGGTGGCTTAGTGGTTAGCACGTTCGCCTCACATCACACCTCCAAGGTCTGGGGTTCGATTCCCGCCGGGGTGGGAACCGGAGTACCCAGTGTGTGGATGTTCTCCCTGAGTTTCATCCGGGTGCTCCAGTTTCCTCCCCCAGTCCAAAGACATGATTAGACAAGACAAGACATGTCTGTAGTGTATGAATGGGCGTGTGTATGTGATTGTGCCCTGTGATGGGCCTGCCTATCTAAATTCATTCTAAGCCAAAACGAAATCATGTGTAGCACACTAAGGAATAGTTTAGTACTGTAATTTACATACATTTCCCTTACACCCATACTTAATCCAGTATATGACAAAAAAAGGCTCTTGTGTTTTACGAAATACATCGTCTTTAATATGTAATATACAGGTTAAATAGTCCAATGATGCATAATCAAGAAGGACCTTCTGAGGTGTTATTCATCCATTCATTTTCTGTACCACTTATCCTTACTGAGTCATGGGGGAATCTCTAGCCTATCCTAGGCAGGGCACAATCACACACACATTTACACACTATGGATGCGCCAATCATGTCTTTGAACGGGGGGAGGAAACCGGAGTACCCAGAGGAAACCCCCAAAGCATGGGGAGAACATACAAACTCCGCACACACATGGCCATGGTGGGAATCCACCCCTCAACTCCGGAGGTGTGAGGTGAACGTACTAACCACTAAGCCACTGTGCCCCCACTGAGGTGTTATTGAAGGGGCTTTATCTGTTATCTTGCACATTTATATTTATCTATAATATAGCCACCCTGTATCCCAAGCAACATGGATCACATACTACAGGGATGGTTAAAATACTAGCGATTTCTTGTCCTACAACCTGCCAGAACTTGTCTATTTTCCTACAATACCAAAAGCAGAGTCTACCCACATCGGTTTTACACTTCGGATATTGGGGAACCATCGGCGTTGAACTTATATCCTTGGGAGGGCGTTCTAATAATTCCCCAAAGGTTAATTCATTGTCAGTAACCACTCTATCCTGGTCAGGATCCCAGGAACACTGGGCATAAGGCGGTAACACACTTTGGATGGGATGCCAGTCATTCTCAGGGTTATCTAGGAACCTATAATAGTGTGCAGAACTCAACGTCATTGCATCTATTTGGCGTAGTAACTCGCAAAAATCCAAGTATTTGGGGATTGGCAAAATAAGATGGATTCTTCTTATCCTGGTGAACACATTGCAGGGAATGTGATTTCTGGTATAGATCTAGAAATGAGTCTCTATAAAGAAGCTGTTATCTACACTTTTTATTTATATATATATATATATATATTTTTTTTTTTATTTTTTTAACAGTGTATGCATATAAAATCGAAGTAACATAGTAGCATGGAGCCCTCTGGGATCCAGTGTGACCGCTCTCTCTCTCACGTGACTGCTCTCTCTCTCTCTCTCTCTCTCTCTCTCTCTCTCTGTCTCACGTGACCGCTCTCACTCTCTCTCTCACACATGACCGCGCGTTCACGCTTCAGTGCTCGTGCGCGCGCTTCTCTTCTCCAGTAGAAATAACACTGCGGAACACGAAAAAGAAATACATATATATACGCATGTGTATAATATTGTTAACTGATAGTCTGAATTAAAACAAACAAACATGGATTTTCTCATCGGGAATCCGTTCTCCTCTCCGGTTGGCCAGCTTATCCGTGAGTGTATGATTATTTCGAAGAAACAACCCGACGCGTATTTCACTTCCTGCCGCGGATCTGTCGGTTCATAGAAACGGTTAGGGAGACTGTAACAGAGCTGGCGTTTCGCTTCCTGGAGCGGTGACTTCTCTCTCACTCATTTGAGACTTGACCGAGCTCTGTGTACATGTTTGTTTGTTTGTTTGTTTGATTTCACTCTAGATGTCTGTAGTTCTATGCCGTTTCTGTGGGTGGACAAAGTGGAACTTGTGCCAGAGGTCTAGCGGTGTAACGATACGCCTGACCGCCTGTGTATTTCAAGTGCTTTAGTCTTCAATAATCCCTGTCCAACTACTTTAGTGTTTAAAGCCTGCATGTCTTCTTTTCTTTTTTTCTGTCCCTCTTTTTTTCTTGTCTCGTCGATGGGCGAACCCCTCAGCTGTGTCTCTGTCATTAGGGAACAGAAAACACGGTTCATATTTTGAAAATGTTTCTATGAGGAATAACCCAACCCAACCCAACCCGGTTATGTTATTGAGAAACTGAGAAGTCCTCCATTTTGAAGACTTTCCTGTGTCGACTGGCTGTTAGAAAAACGCTGACACTGGAGACTCCTTCCAGAATCCTCTGGGCGAACGGCATCGTATTCACACTTCCGCGCACATTTATGTAACAAGCTGTTTAAGCTGCTACAGCAACTGGTGTCGTATCGTCAGGGCTGCTGCTGTTGTAGAAATGTAATCAACACCTTCTTGACCAGTAATAATAATAATAATAATAATAATAATAATAAACTCTTATTTTTATATAGCGCCTTTGAAACAGCTTCTCAAGGCATTTTACATGATGCACAGATGAAAAAACTTGAATACAGAATGCTCAAAACCATCAAGAAAAAGCTAACCTCAAAACAAAACAAAAGGAAAAAAGAAGAAGAAGAAGCTTAAATTCTGTTAGTCTCTAAACTGAGCATTCAAGAGTCTAGGAGCATAGGATGAGAAAGCCCTATCCCCTACTAATCGCTTCTGTGTCACCAGCATGAGAGTAGCACAAATAACGCCGGGGGGTATATAAAGTTAAAAGCGCAGGCAGATATCGAGGTGCCAGAACATGCAGTGCCTTGTATGTGAACGTAAGGTTTTCCAAATCGGGAGCCAGTGCAAGGACTTCAGCATTGGAGTGATGTGTAAATTTCTCAGGATCGTAGCAGCAGAATTTTGCACACATTGCAGTTTATTTAGTGTGGCTTTAGGAAACACAGCAAGAAGTGCATGGCGGTAATCAATACGAGAAAATACGAAAATGTTGATAAGCCTTTCAGTCGCAGGAGAAGATAGCATAGGGCGAAGTCGAGATGGGGGGGGTTCCTTCACAGTATGTTGCACGTGTGGGTCAAAAAACAAACCCGAATCAAATCTATCTCTTAAATTTGATACTTTAGTTTGGAACTCTAAAATAGAGCCGTGTACGTTTAACATTCATTAGTGAACCAGCTTTACAACGCAGATGAGGAGCGCTAATAAGCAAAACCTCAGTCTTCTCACTATTAAGACATAAAAGGTTTTGGGTCAGCAATTTTTTTTTTCTCTCAGAAATACAATGTGAGAGAAAAGAAACATTGACCATTGGCTGCATTTTGACCAGGCTTCGAGTGAATATAAACCTGACTATCGTCTGCATTGAAGTGAAAGTTAAGCCTGAGTGATCTTAAGAGCATGCCAAGAGGAAATATGTAAATGCTAAGAAATAATGGGCCTAAAATTGATCCCTGAGGGACGCCGGTAGGAACAGAGCCAATTTCAGACCTGAAACCACTCATAAAAACAAACTGGCAAGATAAGATAAAAACGAACAAACAGAGAGATAAACAGATCGAAAACAGGTTATAACAGTCTCTGAAACACCAAAGACATTTTCAAGTCGGTTGAGTAAGAGCTTGTGATTTACAGTACAAAATGCAGCGCTAAGATCAAGAAGGATAACGATGGAGGGAGAACCAGAATCTGAGGCTATTAAAAGATCATTTGTGACCTTGACCAAAGCTGTCTCTGTACTGTGAAGTTTACGATTAGAGTCAAGAATCCAACGTGCTGTTGTATAGCAGCAAATATTCACCTACATCCTGAGAGCCCATGTTGGCCAGTCCCTCCAGGCAATTAAAAAAAAAAATTGACCACAGACTTTCTAGAGATTTGGGCCAAGACACGTCATGTGACATCATCACAACACGCATTCAGTCAAAGCCCTCTTCGATTCACGTTTGTCGAACACGAGTACAGCTAAACGGTTTCATTTACCAACAAACATGACGGCGACAGACTACGCAAGACAATTTCGTGCGATTGCGATTTCACCAATTCGTGTAGTATTTCGCAAAAAAACACCCCACAAAAAACTTTTATTTAAGAAAAATATAAGCCGCAGCAAAATCAATCATTTTTGGCCTCAACAATCGCCCAGAAACCCTGCATATGGGCTAGTCTACCCTGAACGCTGGTGGACCGATTCAGTGCTGCAGGCCGGTTCTGATGTTTGTGCAGATACAGTACAGGTAGCTTCAATCAAATGGAGGTCTAGAACACCTGCTTCAGCTCACAAAGTCAATTATCATTTCATCCCAAGGCCACAGCCACATGGGTGGTGGATACCACCCTTAAAAAAATAAAGCCTTGCCACCTCAACTCTGATCTCAGAACATCTCTTTGAGACATCTGTTACATCAATGAAATTCATGTCGATGTAAAGAATCCCTGTCTGGCTCATGGTGATTCAATTAAGTAGCATTGGAGCAGCATGGTGCCGGTAGTGTTCAGGGTCCCCTGTTCAACCCTGAGCTCGGTTTACGGTCTGTGCAGAGTTTTACATGTCCTTCCATGGCAGGCCTTTCTCCGGGTTCTCCAGTCCCCTCCCAACTTACACCCCCCCCCCAAACAAAAAAATCTCAGTAGGTGGATTGGCGACTCCGAATTGCCACGTGCTGTGAATGACTGTGTGAGTATGTGTGTAAAGATGCCCTACAATGGACTGGTTACAATGTAACCTCGTCCTGTACGTAATTTGACACAGATTTAACAGATAAGGAAGATAACGTCAGTTCTAATTCATCATCCTTGGGTGTTGTTTACAGCTGCTCTCTCTTGTTTGTTTTTGAACAATTTATTTTGTATAATTCAAGTCGAGTGCTCCTCTGTCTGTCGAACTTGCAGCAGGTTTTCCTCACCTCAATACAAGCAGATATTTTGAGTGATTTAAATGCGGCTCGTGTGCCGCCCTCACTTGTTCTGTATGGTAATTTCCGCCATGCGTCGGTAGGGAGTTTATTCAAATGAATCTTTTCAGCAATTTAAATAAAGTCTGTGTTTTTGAATGCTCTGAAAAGAGGGCATTTTTGGTCACCT